AGCTGGACAGAGGACAGATTGTATTTGCCTTCAGTGTGGAAGGGATTGTCACTCTCAAATTGGCCTCCTCAACCACACTACATGCTGTTTCAAATCCTCTATTCAGAGCACGTTACCATAGTCTCTCGAGACTGAAGGATGCCTGTAGCAAGCCAGTCTCAAGCCTCTACCAATCCAGGCCTCTAAGAGTGCTCGCTACCTCTCACCAAAACTGCTGCCACCAACCTATCCTTTAAAAATCAAAAGGACAAGTGTTTCTTTCAAAACATATAAAGTGTTTATTGATTACACAAAATAAAAGGAGTAAATCACAGGTATAAAATCAAGTTGTCAATCACTGTTTATAAGACACGAGCTCACACAGACTTTTCCCTCACTGACAGGCTCTTTCTCACTCTCTATCAATCTCTCTAATCACTCATCTTCCAAACTCAATCTGATCTCCACTCACACATCACACACACCTTATATAACCCAGCTCCTCCCACTTCTGCACCACCCTCCGTCCTCTCATTGGCTGAGGTTCCCCTGCCCAGCTGTGACGGACAGGTGACAGCAGAGCTGTATGCCACAATGCCTAATCTATTTTAATATTGTGAGCCACCTTAGATTCTCTTGAGAAAAAAGAGAGGTAGGTTATAAAGTTAAAAGAAACAAACAAACAAATATTTTGTGGCTTTAGTTAAAATAAACAAACAAACAAATATTTTGTGGCTTTCTCAGAAATGGAGTTAATCTCACCACTAAATAAAAAACAGTCTATCCTTGCTAAGAGTCTGGCTGTAAAGATTGGCAAATTGGACTACTGAACAACAGAGAAAATCTACAAATAAGACAAACCCACACTCAGAGGGGGAGAAATTGTTAAAGTTTGATAGTTTGTATAAATAAAGTACTAAACAATTAAGGGAGTAAGAATTGTAATCCTGGAAATGTGAAATTTGATTATAACATGGAGGTCTGAACAATAATGAACTGCATGATAAGAGATTATTTCAGGACAAATAGATGTAACCTTGAAAATGGAAAAGAAGAGAGAAAAAAGTAACTTTCAAAGTATCAATGTACTGAATATCCATTGGATATCACTACAGAATGATGGACAAAGTCCTATCTAGTCGCATGCTCTCTGCATAAATAGCAGAGTTTATGGGAAAGTCCATTAGGTTGCAGCTGTAGCAACTCTCATAAAGAATGCATGGTGTTTGCTTCTGAGGCAAACTCAATGAGAAAATGCATTGAGTCTGCTAGCCATAGGACAAAATGAAGATAAAGATAATATTATTTCTTCTTATCAGCAAACATTCACTTTTGTAGCAGAGTCTAGGAGATTTTTTTAGTCTTCTAGTACTAGAATCTGCTAGGTTAGGAGGAAAATATAAACAATAGATAGAGATATATAAACATCTGTGCCTAGAAAAGGACTGGTGTAACGTAAGCCTGATTTCAGCCAGCAAACTATCAGCCAGCAAGGAGTCAACAATGACAGCTGAGCCACAGCACAGCCAAGTCAAGCCAAACAGAGACACCAAGGGTAGAAAAAAATAAAGCAGCTGAAGAGACAGAGCAGCGCAAGGGCAACATACAGAAATCATGGATTTTCCTCCCTAGATTTAAACTGGCAGATGCTCAAATGAACATGTAGAAAATTTAGCATTTTTCACTTGTCTTTAAATATGCTAAGAGGCTAAAAGAATTTTTTCTACCCTTACTAATTGTAACTTTTTTTTAACAAGATATACTTTTTAAGCTTAAGATCTTGCATTTTTGTATTAAAATGAAAATTAAGTTTGTGTCTATAACTTTTTTATTTAAAAGCTTATAACTGTAATATATTTTTCTGACATAAATATTTGCCTACAACTTCATTTTTCATATATTTTAAAGAATATAATCTATAGGTTTTGAATGTGTGTGTAAGAATGATATTTAGAGGTCACATATCTAACTTCTGAAAGGTTATATCTTTTCAAAGGAATGTGATGACTAAAGCTTGTAGAAGTAGACAGGCTAATGTTGCTTGGACTAATTTTTCTCTCTTTACTTCACCATGAGTGAAAAAAAAGATTTATTCTCATCCTCTGAAAAGAGATGGAACAAGTTAAAAGGTTGCAATCCTGGTAAACCAGACAGGAATGAGTAAATGAAGTCTACTTTGATACCCAGATTAATTTTAATATGACTGACATGATTATCTGGTTCACACTGGTATTTAACCCTTTCAGGGATAATTTTTAGCCATAATGACCACTACAGACTCCAACTACCAAGGGGCATTTAAAAGTTCTATAGGGTTTTAAAGCTTTGTTCAAGTGTCTACTATTGACCTTGATATGCCTTCTACTGGTCTCAAATTCCTATAAATAGACCAGACTTAACTTGCAATCTTTATTTTGCTGGGAAGTTCCAATTATAAAGTTCTCGCTCAGATATCCTTTCTGTAAGGAGCTCTGTACATGCTTATGAAGCCCAACATTATACTCAAATAAGTATCCTTCGTTGAGGTCCAGAACTTTCTTTATTGAGGTCCAGAATCTGGTAAATCTGTCTTAACTTTCCCTATAGTAGCTGGAACAGCAACTTCATGAGTCTACACTGCAGCCCCTCAGACACGAAATAATTGTTATCTTCATTGCCCACTTCTTGTTCATCCAAGGTAAAAGATGGTACTATTAGTCCTCTTCTGTACATATCTATTGCCTACATGAATGTCTACAAATTGGCTGTTGAGGTGGCTACTGTTACACGGCATAAAGGTGGAGTTCAAAGTAGGTAAATTGTACTCCACAGTCCACATGTGGCCCGCTGGGGTCCCTACTGCAGTCTCCGGCACCCCATATTTTGACTTTAATAGCACCTTCTTATTCATCATATTTTCAAGTGGCCCTAGATCTGTTTTATGCCCAAGGGCGATTTTTCAATACCAGAAGTGTTGAGCAATTACTTGCAGTTCTGAGAGAGAAAGCCCCCCCCCCCACATCTTGAGGTGCAGCAAACATGTATAGACTACCGCCCTCTGGATGTTGCTCACCCTTGGCTTAGCCAGATTTGTATTTTGTTTGTTTTGCACACAGACACACTGCTTTCCTTCTCAACCTCATGCTTTTTCATCTTATTTTAATTATACTGGATACGATTGCCTCTTTGCACCTTCAAGGACTATATTAGTTGGAAAATTTATTGCCTATTCACTTGCCTTACAAGGTCAACGTTGTGATCATCATTAACTAGCTAAGGGTGTGACTACACAGGGAAGTTGATTTAGAGTTTTTTATCCCAGGCTCCCACAGTTTCCACTGCTGAAATCACTGTTGTCATTCACTTATTTAATTTATATCCCACCCAGTTAGTGAATTCACACTATTCTGGGTGATGCACAAACAGGCAAAACTCAACAATCACCACCCACTTCATTCCCATAATAACATAGCAAATGATTTATTGTCCCTAAAAATTTCCATTGCAAAAGTTTACACTGCACATAAAATCATCGCAATTGTCATTTGGAACAAAATCTCCCACCCAACAGTGCATCATTCCTCATCTCTTCACTTCTGCCCTTTAGGCATGCGCTACTTCCTTAAAAATGTGTGATACAGTGCTGAATTAACAATCTGTCAGCCTAGCATAGTTTCCCCCCATGTGTTTAAAAAAAGAGATAAGTGGATGTGAAAAGCTTATTTGTGAGAAGACAAAGATAAGCATGGAGGAAGAAAAAGGAGCTGAAGCTGAGCAAATGGCACAGGAGCCAAAACACTTTTGGGGAGGGGAGGGCATTGGAAAAAGCTACAGCAAAGAAGCAGGGGCCGCAACTGTCGCAAAGCCTTCCCTGTATGGATGCTCCAGCTCCTTCAAACAGCTCAATGCACAGACATCCCATTTTCCCTTTGCATTTGGATAAACAATCACAGATACCAGAAAACAGAGGAAAGCTGAATTTGAAGCAAAATCAATCTGCCAGTTGAACTATTCCTCATGGAAAGAATGACTGGGCTTTTCCATGCTTAGCTGTACATTATGTAGTAGCTGGTAAATATGGTAATTTCAACCATGTCAACTCTGACACAAACGGTGGGGTAAATTGCCAATGGAGTTGCATCCCAAGTTGAATTGACTTCATTACAGTTTATATACATTTCCATATAGATATGTGTTTAAGGTGACTGATTTTTCCCAGTTCTCTGTCTTCTTTCTCATCAAATACATCTTTCTGTATCTAGACCAGTGCTTGAAAAGGCTCCTTTTAAAGACTGCAGTTCCAAAATCACCCAGCCAGCATGGCCATTCATTCAGTGAGATGAAAGGAAGTGTTCTTGGCAGAAGTGTTTAAAAATTACCTAGGCAGATAGGTAGACTAGCATGTGTCAGCAGGTTTAGTTTGACTGGTAGAGACTATCGTGATACATTTTAGGAGAACCCTCAAAAAGGAAGGGATCTGATAACATGGGGCATCTCTCCATCGATACTACAGTATATGGCAGTAGGAACACAACTGGAAATAATAAGCAATAACAGTTAAGTTGGACCAATGTATGCTATGTGCTGTACACAGACAGATTCATAAAGGGCAAGCTTTCTGATGGTCATTGGTTGTCCATTTAAAAAAGGGTCTCCCAAAATGTAGTGTGGTGTTTTGATACAGAAACAATGATAAGCATCTTGGTGAACAAAATGAATACTTATTCCTACACACTGGATAGCAAAATCTGTAAATACTGATTTTTTTAAACATCTCAATGCATTCCCCCTAAAGGCTACCTGCACAGTTTTATTTTTCTATTTTGAAAAGGTTTGAGAACACTTTGAAGATTGCTGTCCACATATATACACACATAGACAATTGGTCATTCAATATTGCCAACTTTTAGATATGAAAGATGAAATACGAACATTATAATAGCCTAGTATTCTTTCATCTTAAAAACACAAAGCATTGTGAGTAAGACTGGGTTTTAGTTAGGGTGAGAACACAAAGAAAGACAAATTTATTAGAAACGTACTTTCACTAGTTGAATAGTCCTGTGGATCAAGTATTCCTGACTCTTGCAGTGATCTAATGCAAGAATCCACAAGTTCAAGACCCGTTGTCAGTTCATCTTCTATATCCTTCTGACCATCTGTAACAAAAGATTTCAAAAATTTTAAGTATAAAACAAAACACTCCCCTCAAAACAAAAAAATGAAACAAGAGAACGATCAGATTATAGACACATGCATCCATACTGTATTTTTCCATGTATAAAATGACACTTTTTCATAAATCGTTAGAGGAAAAATTGAGGATTGTTTTATACATGGAAGGAGGCAGAGGCAGAGGCAAAGGAGCAGCTGCGCTTGGCCGCCTCTTGTGGCTGCCCATTGACTGCTGCCGCCGCTGTCCAATTACCTCCTCCAGTGTGACTTGCCGGGGCTAACCTGCAGCTTGTCCCCTGCCTGAAGGGAGCCTGCGAGTGGTGCTGGAGGAGGCAGCAGCACGAGGCAGAGATAGGCAAAGGAGGAGCCACGCTTGGCCGCCTCTCACTGCTGCCCATTGACTGCTGCCACCACCACTGGATCACCTCCTCCAGCACCACTAGTGGGCTCCCTTCAGGCAGGGGACAAGGTGGTTAAATGAGCTGGAGGTAAGCCCTAGCAAGTCGCACTGGAGAAGGCAATCAGGCAGCGGAGGCAGTAGCAGCAGGAGGCGGAGGAGCACCGACGCTGGGCCACCCCTTGCGGCTGCCCATTGACTGCTCCTCCGCGTTGGGACAAAATTAGGGGGTTGTCGTATACATTGGGAGGTCATATACACAGAAAAATGTGGTATCTCCTCTCAGCAGTGGGAAGATGCCTTGCCTAATACTTCATGATGCTGCTCATCACGTTTAAATACTAGCATAATGTATTTATGGCTTTTTTGTTTCATTGCTAGGTGGTGACAATTGCATCTATGAACATCACAGGTCAGTAGAACTACAAAAAGTTATTTTGGATACACTTTAAAAAATCACCCATTCAGCATGCCTATAGGTGCAGTTTTATGTGTTCCACATTCCACAAAAATTGATTTAGTCCTGTTACAGGGACTGCATGTTCAGAGTTAACACATTTGTTGAATCCTTAATTTATGGTTTGATTAATTGAAGGGATAAACCAAGAAATGGCCAAATAGCCATTTCTGGGTGACTGAAAAGGTGAACATTTTGTGCCATAATCAAAAGCAGCTGTGCATCTACAAGTGCAAAACAGAATAAAAAACTCAAGGATCTTCAAAAGGGCTACAACAGATGACAACTGCAACTTCAAATGATCTATTAAGGTATGATGACCATGAGAACACCCATGAGCATTAGCAGTAAGATTATGTAAACATATGCAACTACACAAATCTATCTGCACACAATAATTGTATAATATATACATAGTAAACTCAGTCTGGTGAGCCTAAGCTATCCATTCTCCATTAACAGAATATTTATTCCCTTTTTTTCCAATAGAGCCTGATCAGATGGCTTATTTGTAATTCATAGATTTAGTATTTTTGCTGATAACACTTTCAGATGTGTTTAGAATAAAAACAGATTTCTGTGGCTGTATATTTTTTTATAAATTTTTAGGGATGTTCTCATAAGTACTGTGAGGTACTAGTTCCCCTCTATTTGGCACTGGCTAGGCCTCATCTTGAGTACTGTGTCCAGTTCTGGATACCACACTTCAAGAAGGATGTTGACAAATTGGAACAAGTTCAGCGGAGGGCAACAAGGATGGATCAGGGGGCTGGAAACCAAGCCCTATGAGGAAAGACTTAAAAAATTGGTCATTGTGACGATCACCTCTTTTGAAGCACCTACTTTTTGTGCTCTCACAAAGGTTCCAGTCTTTGTTTCCCTCACTGCCACCAGTGGATTACCTCTATCCACAACATAACGTTTGTCCAAACACTTGTAAATGCAAACAGATCTTATTTATTGAAGTATAGCAAAGTTAATAATAATCACAGATGTTTTTCAGATGTTCATGGTACATAAGCAAATAATTCATAGGTCTCTCTATACAGCAAATAATTCACAAGTCTCTCTATACATACTTTCTTTTTGCCATATAATTGATTACCACTTTATCTATTTATATTAACCAACTTAACTCTATTAATATCTATTCTTTCTCTCTCTGATTCTCTGACTCTGACTAACTCTTACTGACTCACTCCTGAATGACTCTTGACTGTCTGACCCCTCCTCTCAGGCTCCACCTTTTAACCTCTCTCTTGGCTCTGCCCCTCCACCACATTAGCATAGACATGAATAGTACATGACTTTAACCTAACAAAAGGGTGAACTCTACAGTCACAGTTAGCTGAGAAAAGAAGACTGAGGGGAAATATGACAGCACTTTTCAAATACTTGAAAGCCTCTCATACAGAGAAGGGGCAGGATCTCTTATCAATCATCCCAGAGTGCATAACACGCAACAATGGGCTCAAGTTACAGGAAGCCAGAATTCAGTTGAATATCAGGAAGAACTTTCGAACTGTTAGAGCAGTACAGGAATGGAATAAATTACCAACACAGGAGGCATTCAAGAGAAATTTAGACAACCACCTGGCAGATATCCTTTGATTTTATTTGTGCATTGAGCATGGGGTTGGACTCGATTATAGGTCCCTTCCAACTTCATTATTCTATGATTCTATGATTCTACTATTCTATGAATCATTGCACCTTAGCAATTTTTTTCTCTCTTGTGGCTGTTATTACCTTTTCAAAGATCCTTCTTGTTGTTTTTTCAGTTGGTGCCCGCAAACAATGTTGAAGAGGAAGACAGGAATGGATAGACTGGTGGGATTTCATATTGATCTCTACAGTAGCTAGATATTTTGTCAGTTTTCTTGCTAGGTGTCACGATCCCCATGTGGCCCCTGCTTATTTCACCAAACTAAGAGCTCATGCTACGTGTCTTTCAGCTGCCACCAGTTGATTACATCAACATTATCTATTGTTAATGATAGATGTCCAGGCCATATGTCATTTTAAAAGAACTAAATAGAAATTGTTTATTCTTACAGATGTAGATACTTCAAGCAATGTTGTTAACTCTTAACAAACATCCTCCTTCATCCACTCTCAACCACCTCTCCCGCCCAAACTCCAAAACTCTCTAAATTCTCAATTTCCTCAACTAAAACTAAACTCCCCCTCCTCCTGCTGAGTCTCTTATAATCTCCTTACTCTGCCCTCCAGCATTCCCATTGGTCTATGCAGATAACATATGAATATTCATGACCTTGGTGGATGCCACATTAGGTTTTACTAGATTATCAATAATCTTCATAGTTAAACTGACAATTCTTGTTTCCTTTGGTCTTCCTTTTCTTTTTCATCATTTGTTTAACAACTATTTCATATAGAAGGTTACTCTCATTATTATTCAACCATTTTCTTTAATCCAATTATGTCATGCTTTGATATATTATACATATAATTTGCAGAGAAAGGAAGCAATTGGTAACTTCTTTTTTATATTTGATGGTTCAAATAGAGGATTTTGTAAGCAACTGAAGAGTTTCAATGAAAACATATCCTGACTCTAGAACAGCAGTACCCAGTGCCAGGCCACATGATCCCCTGCTAACACTTAACACCACAAAATTTGGCCAGCCAGCAACTGAAGATGTATGCGCAACTACTCATTCACACTGTGTACTTTTCTACAGAGAAATCTAACAAAATATATCTTACCTTGTGTTTGCCAGTGAAACTGTTCTTCAGTTGAACTGGAGGTAAAGAAACATACAAAATGCATATTAGAAAAAGGAAAAATGTTAGCAATTCTATTAAAAACTACTGAATTTGATTTAAAGTAATATCTCTTCACCATATCTGAAGCAGTTTTCTTTGTTGAAACCAATGAGAAAATAGATTGCTGTATTAACACTGGCTTAAAACCCAAGTTCCTTCTCTGTGCACATAAGGGAGGTTAACTTTGGGTCATTCTCTTCCTCTACACCCCCCGGAACATATGCTATAACTTTCCCAAGGGTTTCCCCATCTGTAGGAGCAGATTTTCAGGAGTTTGGGGGTTGCAGAAGAAAGAGAAAGGTGGGAAAGCCTTATCCTGTGAATATGACAGACAACAGCGATATTTCGGTGACTGATAATACAGATTAGACAAACATTTAAGGAGTAGAATGCATTGGTCCCATCTTTTCTTTTGTCACTTTCCTAAAATGAAGAGTCTTGATTAGAAAAGAACCTTTATACTTATAGGAGGCTGTCATCTTCAGATCATTGTTCCTCACCACTGCCTCTGAGTGGGCTCCCGTTGGAGGCACCACTGGTAAGCTGGAGCGCCCATGGTACAGCTGTGCAGCTGGAAGGCTGAACCAGCACAAACTGCCAAACTGTGGTCTGTGCCATCTCTAGTTGTGAACATATTCAGAAACCCATGCCATACAGTATCTTTGTGATGGCTCTCTTTGGCACTTAGTGGGATTTTTCATAAAATTTGGTTCCTTGAAAATGACTGAAATGAAGAGAAACAACACCTGAGGTGGATGCACCAAGCTGCAATCGGGATAAATTCAGGGCTATGCCTGGTGCCTAATGCTTCACTTGAAAACATGCCACCCTTCTGCTTTCCGTTTTTGTTTATATAGTATGCATGCATGGGGAGAGAAATTTTCATTGGGACAGCAGCCACACAGCATGGAGTAATTCAATCCTTCTCTCATCACTTCTGGGCCTGATCAGGTCTTTATTCTTCAGTACCATGCAAAAGTGAGGTCCAGTAAGGCTAAGAGCAATACAACTGGTTTGCAGCTGTACACACAAGCACTAAGCTTCCACCTGTGCACTGTATTCCCAGTGAAAATTCTCTCATGTAGTATCTGCTACTGAACAAAAATTCCAGACATGTTTCCAGAAATTTGGCTCTCAGACACTGCTTGCCAGTGATGAGAATGGGGGCATGGTTGTAGTATTTGATGTTATACAAAGTGTTTATAGTTCTCTCTCTCTCTCTCTCTCAAACACACACACACACACACACACACACACACACACACACGAAAAATGTATCTCCTGCATGTTGTTTAAACCTTTGCTAACTAATTAAAAAATTATGCTGAATCCCCTGAGTGTGATAACTTCACTGGTAGAGATAATTACTGCCATAACATGCGCATAAATATGTAATAAAATCAAGAAATAGTAATTACTTCAGCAGCAATAACAGGAAGTTCCTTTGAAATGTAACTTTTTAAGCTTTTAATCCTGGGATCAAGCCCTGGATAAACTTTAAAAAATGAAGGTTTAAAAACTAACCTCCAGCTAGAGTAGAACAGTCAACAGAGTTTTGTAGCCTCATGAATCCAGCTGTGAGTTTCCAGCTGACTGTCTTCAATCTATCCGAATAACTTCTCTGTAGGGCTTTTAACGGCCGTCACATAGGATATTTGTTCTGAAGTTTAATCCCCAGTTCCAATCCTCTCCTGGAATTTTGTTTTAGAGGGATTATCTATTTCTCCTTAGTAAAATTCACCTGACTGCTAAGGTCAGTGCCACCGGAAAGATTTCTCTATTTGTGTCCATATTGCCAAATACATAATCCGTTCCTCACAGGGCTAATAATACTGCAAATATTGCTCTATATTTCTGCTACAGTATGTTTGAGTGGAGCTAAATAATATGAAATCAGAAGAAAGAGGAATATGTACAAAAAAGCTGGTTTTGGAATTACACACTCTTGATTAACAACACACCGAAAACGAAAACCTGAATGCATGTAGCTCTACAGTACCAAATCTGTACAATGTAGTGAAATATAATATTGGAAACAAAGTGAAAGTATAGCACTGGACATTTCGGGAACATTCCATATGCTGTGTATATTCTCAAACAGAAACAAAAACTAAAGCAAAGCAAAAAAACAAAACAAAATGCAACACTTGATTTAAAGTGGAAAGTAATGGTTAGAGTTACATTTCCACCAATAAGGAAATGTGACCACAGATTAGCTGCTTCTACACTAACTCAAAGCATAGATAAAATGATAGTCCCTTCTTGTAGTTTTTCTTCTACCCCTAAGTAAATAGTATAACTCCCTAGTAGACATGAGGGTGTTTGTATATGAATACCCCCACACAGCTGGATTTAATGAGTGTCCGGCCCCTAGGCCTGGAGAGTCCATTCGCACATCTGCCAGCAGCAGCCACCTCAGTCAGCCTTCCAACTGCTCCCACAGCACTGCTCTCTTTCCACTCATCTAGCTACTCAGGTTAAAACTCCATTAATCCTCTTCATACCAATGCTCTCCCTTCTCTCCTAGCCCACCTCTTTTTCTTGATGGTTTCTCTTCCCCTGCACTCTAGTGCTCAGGCACTCAGACTTTTTAATCTCTACACCTTCCTCCTCACCTTTACCAGACAAAATGATATCACAATAATAACATGCACTAATTAAATAATCCTGGAATAATTAACATTATGGTTTAATATACAGTAAATAGTATTGCAATGAAAACAAAAACTACATTTTATGCAGCGCTAAATGTTACCTTAGCTACATCCCTTAAAGAATGTCCCACTGACATGGTCTCTAGGGGTCTTTAGTTGCCATTACTGCTGCCTTTATAGCTGAAATTAATTAGGTCCCCACCTATGTAGGAGACAGCCAGATAGACTCTTTCAAGGATTAGAAATCCCTTAGTTCATCACTCCAGGCATGCTCCCTCTGATCTTTCATTCCTCTACTTAACCCCCCACCCTTTAAAAAAAAACTGGCTTTCCCTCCATACACTCTGGTGCTTCTTTAGCCTTTCCCTTTGCTTCCATCACTGTCCTCTTATATCCTGTTTCGGAGTAGGTAGGTTCCAGATGTAATACCTAAGCCAGCAAGCTTCAAGGAAACAGCAACAATGTATTCATTATTTTATTCTATCCTCTACAATTATTACATTTACTGTATGTCCTGTTATCCTTCCAACGTGGTCAGTAGAGCATATAGGTTTCTCTTTATCCTCCAAATAACCCTGTGTAGCAGAACAGATTGAGAGACTATGACTGACCAAAGGCACTCCATGAGCTTCATGGTTGTGTACATATGAGAATCCAGGTCTTCCTAGTCCTGTTCCAATGCTTAAATTGAATACACCACATTCAGAGTGGCAAGGACACTTTGAAGATATGGTCAAAAGGCAACACACGTTTCAAACCAGTATCACTGTCCTAGTATGGAGTAGATAAGGGGAGTCCCAAGATATAGTTTAAGCAAGGTTCCCGCTGAGCTGGGTGCACATGTGCACGCACATGACTGTTTCCCTCCACACAGCTCTTTTCCTTCTCTGTGCAGTGATCCCATTAGGTTCCAGTCGCAACGGAACCCAGCGCACGGGGGGGTGCGGAGCTGCACATGCATGCAGGGGCAAAGCCATGCCAGAGAGAGGCGGAGCCCTGCCCAGTGGGTCTGAAAATTAGAGAGTATATTGGGTCCAAACTATATTAGGTTTCAAAATGGCATAATTCAACCAGTCAGGTAAGGGTTAGCTTAGATACAGTCCATATTCAGGCATAAGCGAGGCATGTCTCAACAGGAATCAAGGAAACTAGAAAAGGACTGCCATGGAGTAGAATGAATAATACAGCAACCTTCTTGATATCATATTAGATTTTTATAGCAGAGCTCCACCCTGGCCTCAGATGTGGTTAAAAATGTTAAAACACATTTCAGAGCCTAAAAGGTGTTAGTCCCAGAGGTACATGACATATTGAAAACAGATTATCTGAAATTTCTGCAGGCACTCATTGTTCACTGATCTCATAATAATATTTTGGTTGGACTTCCGGCTTGACGCCGCGACGAGACAGCAGCAGGAGGACAGAGCTCTGTCCCCTGGGCTGAATTCTGACCTGTTTGGGACACCCCAGGGTGTCGAAACCACCCCGAAGAGGT